GGTTGTGCTTTTTCCAAGTGTACATATAAAAGTTATTTTCACGACCCGGTAAACTACGTGTTTGAAGATCGAACAGAATGGTCAAATTTTCATTTTTTCGATTCTTCATTTCGCTGATCTAGAATGAGGCAACTGTGGACCAATGGCTGTATTTGCCTCAGATTAATGCCCCATTAAGTACCCGGCCCAAAGTTGTCACCATTTGTAAGTTATTCTTATCACTACGTCTTATTCATTAAACTTTAAAGACTGCACAAATGTAATTGGACTGTGAAAAGATGCGATGAAGATGAGAAATTATATGACAAGGATAAGAACCTCTGTGACGAAGCCGGGTTTACAAAAGGGGAAGCCGTTGGTGACATGTTGTTCTCACTAGTACTGTTGATGGATTTCAGGGGTCGATCCAGGAAACTGTTATATTATGAGTTCAGACCTGATCTTGCTATTAAATTGAAATATACTGCAAAGTACTGTGCTGTATCCTTGCACCGTTATGTAGTATCTTGTCAACTGNNNNGAGATATGTAAGCAATTACGTTTGGTTCAAATGACTCGGTACTTTTAGAAGGAACCTTGACATTGATGGAATTTACCCATTAGGCTGTTGAGGTCCCAGACTGAACCCACTCATGCGATGTTTTATACTAGCATTCACATCTGAGCATGGTGACCGACTTATCAATCCATCTTGATGGGGTTCGCTTCCTTAACTAAAAGATCGAGGTCAATTCTGCGGAGTTCGTTCACTTGATTGACAATCAAGGAGATAACGTTCCCCCGGGGGACAAACAATAAACCCTCATCCCACCGGAACATTCAACCATGCTCGAGAACTCAGATCAAGTCAAGTCAAGAAATTGGTTTATCACACCTAGTTTAGCTGCCAAATGCCCGACGGATAAATGGTACAGTTTCATTTTTTTTATGACCAATAGCTATTCACCTTTTTTCGGCAGTTTTAGTTGCCCATTTGATTGAAGGGGTCGAAGAAAGGAAGGAATGTTGTGAGCGGAATCAAACAAAGGATAGAGAATCCAAATGAACCAAGGTTGCAAGGATAAAAAATCGATGTACGAGCGTCACTATTTGTGACACAGCCATGTCACTCCCTCTCTCTAACCATTTGTTACGCTAATCCCGATGTTCCCATCCAGGAAGCCTAACGAAAGGTGACTCTTCCTAGCCATATCCTAGAGAAGCACTTATTTTTTTCCAGTCAACTTCTCAGTTTTTTATTTGGCCTTCCGATTGCTCAGAGGTCACCAATTCCTCCCGAAAATTATCGTCGGGTATAGCTCCACTTGTCACTTTCCAATTGGCATCAACACTGCTCAATTTTTACCCATACCAATATGAACAAACCTTGTGGGTTATCAACTTGACCATTCACGTTCCATTTCTCAGGCTCCGTATTGCGATCAATTCAGCATTTTGTAAACAGTTGATCCCTGTTAATCAAAGGATCAACTGGATCCTCGTGATACTGGTTCGGGCCAAGAGTTGATCCTAGCGGTTTTTCCCATTAATCTACTGTAAGAATCGATGTGTACATTTCGATGGCCATAGAATTTTGCGATCATAAAAGATAACCTTCGTTATTCATTCATTGTATGCATAGGAATAGAGTCAATTTTGATAAAGGAAACTGCAATTGATCAAAAACTGTTAGCAAAGGATTTGAAAGTTGAACCAAACAGTCAATGTTAATGGTGTGATCCGAATTTACAAACGGCGGATTGGTGTAGTTTTGAACTCTAGTACTTGACCACGGCTGTCCATGTGTTGTCTTTTTTCTCCCAGAAAGCGAAGCTTTAAGGTAGTTTATTGTTTCAATGTTTACTGCCATAGAACATCTTTGTTTTTGGCACGCCTTCTGGCAATCCTCTGGTAACCATTTTATTCTTCAGTTCATTACTCACTGGAACTTATAACGAGATCGTTTCTTTCCATTTCCTTCGTTATTTAAAATTGTTAAGAAATACCAAATTGAGTAAGGAACCCGAGAGCGCAATTTCACATCGTAAACTATGGGAATGCTTTATTTAAACAATCGTGTTATAGAACTGAATAAACCATTAAGGAAGAATTAAGTAGACCGAAGCAAGTCATATTCGCCGGTGCATGTAAAAATGGTCATTAAGATTAAGACTCGGTCATGCACAAATCTCTCTTGCTCTTTAGAGGGACGTAAAATCTTTGCTCGCGGTTACCTCCAACCGTGCGCGCGCTCATCCGGATAGTCTGAAATGTGTTCTCTCGATTGAACCACTGTTGTTGTCAGCGTGGGTCTGTCAGTTCCGTTCTGTAGCGATGGGCGTTTGTAGTAACTCATTGCAAATTTCCACATTTGTTCTGTCGTTTCAGTAGGCCTATAGGGTCTAATGCCAATCACGTGACTCTTAAATACCGCTGTTGTCAACGCATTCTGGAACGGAGCTCTTAGTTAATTATATCCTTCTCTCCCTCTGTGTTCCCCCGGTGCCCGATTTCATCGCAGTCCCGTCGCTTTTATCGTACGTTCAACTGTCAGACGAGCAAATGCGCGAACCCTAAATCTCTTATCCCCGATGTACCGGACAAGCAGATATCTGAGCCGATTCCGCTGTCCGAATCATGTCGTTCACGCGCGGGTGAGGATCGCTTGAAACTCAGCGCCCAGTCATCTGCGGTCATTGATAGAGCTGGTCGCACTCCAAAAGCTGGTCAGCACCAGTCGTTTATCCCTCGATCGTCCATGGGAGGTGAATTGTCCGTGAACCGCAATACATCATCCAGTCGAGATACTAGTGCGTTTAATCAGAATACTTGGTTCATTTCCGTGCACACGCACGAATCGGTAACATTTTGTATCTGGTCTGTTTGTGCCTCTCTCCTCCGATCAAATAGTGATGTGCGTATGACGAAAGCAGTAAACAAAAAAGCTACTTCCACTCAATAGCTCACTTACCATGTTTCGTGAGAGCACGATGTTGTTGTTGTTGTTGTTTTTATTGCGGCTGTTCGACGTTTGTGAGTAGCACTCGAAATTTAATGAGATTGCTTGTACGTAGTCTGTTCTAAACCGAAACGGCTATTCTATGCATTTTACCTGCACAGTTCCTTATAATCGAGCCATCTCAAAGTCCTAGCTAGTCCGGTAAAATCGAACGAGGTAAGACAAACATCAGTTTCGCATGTGGTAAATGTGCTATGATGATGTTGCATACTATCGCATCCAGATCACGGCATTCATAACCAAACAGAATGCGTCACCCTGAGAGTAAACAATATTGATCCGATCAATTCATTAGAATCAACCAGCAATCATCTTACAAACTTTTTTTAGAATTGATGTTCTACAATAGGCCTTTGGCTTGACTTGTCAAATTCAACCCAGAAACACATCTGCGATCATGAGCCTTTTTTGATCATGAACATTTTCCATTCGATGCGATGAAAATCCGCTTGCTACATGCTTTCCATGTTTCTCAAAACTCCCAAGTTCACATTTATTCAATTTTTCATTTCAGGTCCTTTTGTTTGCCCCAAAGGTCTGAGGGTTGCCACCAAACCCAAACCTCTGTGTAAAAGCACGAATCCCTCCACCACCTATAACGGGAGCACTGGTGTGAGCAAGCTCAGTGGGATCGCTCTCGGTCAAGCTTCGTTGGCTCGGAACAGCACATCAGCTCGATCTGCCAAATCCTCTCCATCCCCTTCTACAACTCGATTGGAAACAAACGGGTCCACTCATCGTTTACCCACATGGACTCCGCCATCCAGGCACTTAGACACCCGTGCTCCCTGGGTCCGACCGGAACGACCCAAAAGCACTCAGGCTTCATCCGCAGTAACGTGTTCAAGCACGATCAGTTCGACCACGCCCAGCAAAACCCTGTCCCCCGTCACTTCGCCACATGTGGTCAGTGTGTCCATACCGCCGCTGGCAAATCGACTGCACATACGAACTTCACCGTACGATCGTCTTTCGCGTTTGTCCTACGGATCTGAAGGGGGTTCACAAGAATCACACGTAGGCCCCGGTAAGTTGTGTGCATTTGGAATTTTCGAGGAGTGCATGTACGACGATTGAGATCAACTTTGACCATTTAATCCTTCCAATGTGTTAGTGAGCATGCGGGGCACAGAATAGTAATGTACAACTATCGGAACTCTGTCAAAGCCATCCTGGTGAAAGCGAGAGACACCGGCGATAATTGATCGTTTTGTGCTCGATGAGCGACTTCGCTGTTTCAGATGAGTGTAGCAAATCCCCTGAT